ATATTGTTCCTTTCGCATTATTACATCAATTAATAGCAAGGGACCAATTTGAGCCGCCTCCGTGCTTGACGGTTTGCCGCTCATTACTTAGTGACTGGATTGTGGGATCTCTAGCATTTCCTTTCTTTTGAAGGGGAATAACAAATGACGCCTTCCAAACAGATGGGAAGTGATAAGTTATCAAAGATAAGGTTAACAATTTGTGTAGAGGTCTACACAGAGTTTCAGCGCAGTAAGCGCAACCGGGAAATTCCGTCGGATAAATAATATGGTTAAACTTTATGGGAGCTTTCGCTTAAGCCCGGACAAAAAATTAAGTTTGACTCGGATATGGTATATGAATAAGACGGATTTGGACGGGATAAAACAGAATATTTTGACTGTAAGAATTGGGCTAATAGATTGGCAATTGCCTTGCCTTACTTGCCGTAGAATTTTCAAATGATAGCGATGCTGGGTAACAGGCTGATTTACGCTTAGTGTTCACAAAAATGTTAAAATGGTTTCGGATATTGTGAAAACAGGACCCTACAACGAGTCAGATAGCTTTTATAACACCGAGCGTTAAGCACGGTAAAATTTGACCGAGCCCTTAGGTATCGAGAGCAGGCAGATTGTAATCCTCTCATTTTAAATTTATCATCAGCATCAGCAGAGAATAGAACTGGAAACCCTGAAAGACGGTCGGACCTATTACGGTGTTATCTTTCTTAACTCTTCAATAGAGCAGCTTCCTGCAGATTTTTGTCTTTGGTTCCTCTGAGCCAATCAATTTAAAAAAATATTTTTCACTTTTAATGACGCAGTGTTAAATTTTGAAAATATTAATAAAGTTCTGTGAATAATTGGTACAGCCTTTTAGACAGGATAAAGGACAAGGGGTTGTCTTAAATTTAAACCAAAAAAAGGGAGTATAAATCAACGACCCAAAACCAGCAAGAAAAAAATTAAATCAACCCGAAAACACAAATATAAAAAAGAATTTTACAATATTTTTTGCGTAAACCATTTATCAAATTTTAGATAACCAAATAAATACATTTTTAAAGCTCTTTCAGTGTGATTAGCAGGACGCACCCATTGGACATCGTAACTGGTTTCAGAAACATTTTAAAAAACATTTTTTCCGTTAGTGTACCTTAAAGTTAGTTTATTAAACAAATTTAAAACCTTTTTTTAGGTTCTTACAAAAAAATTGCTTTATTTTGAATATTTTTTTAAACTAGTAACTATTCAAAAATGTAAAAATATCCATTCAAGCATTTAATGTGGTTTTGAGAAAAACACGATTGAACTAAGACAAGTCAGGATAAACGACCTAAACGGCTTTGTTTCCAAACATATATATCCGATCGATCCGATCAATACTAATCAGTATTTTTAATAAGACTTAAAATTTATCATGTTTTTCTTTTTTTCCATTTTCCCATTTCCCAGTTTTCCCATATTAAAGCAAAGAAGAAGAAAGAAAACTCTTCAAAATAAGGAGATTAGGCTTCAAAAACTGCATTACTTACAGAGGAATTGTAACCAGGTATTTTATTGACACATGGAACTGATATAATGGAATACCAGTCCAACATGTTGGAAGTATCGTCGGATCCACTTTTTTTTTCTCTTTGGCATGTAAAGTCATTGGGAGAGTTAGAATCGAATTACAGTTCTGAAATGATTGTCTATTAAATATACCTTCTAGTAGAAATACCTTTTTTTCTAAATAAAGAGTTTTAAAAATCCATAAACCATAAAAACAATAAGAACTGTTGATAATACGAAAAACAAATATATAAATATAGTAGTATTCCCATTCGCGGTGTTGACGATTCCAAAAAATGCAAAGTTCAGGAGTACGTGCAAATATTTTGCAACACTTTTAAAATGAAAAAAAAACTCTGTGCAGAAACTTAAAAAGATTGGACAAAAACTTTATGTAATGTAATTTATCCCACATTTGGATATTTGGCGGTTATATTGCTTGCTAAGTGGTAGTAGAGTACGAATTTTTCTATACAAGGCAAATGACGAGCGGAATGTGGGCATATGTGAGATCTTCTCAAAGGCGGACAACGTGTTCTTGGAAGAAGAGGGCGAGGTAAGCGAGGAGACGCCAAATCGGTCGCTGCTCTGCAGGCAGCCAATAAAATTCTAAGCGAAATTGCATTATCATTAATCTATCTGCTCCGCCAAAGCTTACAACTCCTGATTTTGCACAACTCAGCCCCAGCTACAGTGGCGGACTAAAGTCTAAATACGACCCCTTTTTTTGGAGTTCAGCTAGCTCTATAGCATTTCCAATAAAAGTAATGATGCAGTCTTGTTTTAAATTTAATTATAAGACAAAAACCAAAATAACGTCTTTATTTAATAATAACTTTCGAAGTTATTAACCAAAAACTGAAAAAAGGCACTGACAAAAGTCTACATACGTTCTGTTACTAAGCACTTCTATGAAGTAATATTGTTATTTATATTAAAGATAATATTTAGTTGGACCACCACCGGCATCTATAGTTCTTACTCCTGTTATTTTTTGCAACTCCTCTTGAAGTTTTTCTCGCAGCATATGAGCGCTACTTATAGGGTGTTTTCGATTTTTTCGTTCCAAAATTTCCCAAACGTGCTCTATTATATTCAAGTCCGGACTTTGTGGTGGTGAATATAATTGCCGAGGGGCATAATACAGCAGCCAATCCTTCACTATCTATGCTGTATGCTTAGGATCATTGTCCTGTTGGAAGATCCAGCCAAGGCATAGTTTGTCCACCGATGACTTCAAATTGTTTTCCAATATGGTCTTATATTGGAAACGATCCATGTTACCCTCAATGAACACCAAAATGCCTACTCCCGACGCTGCAACTCCTCCCCAAGCCATGACACTCCCTCCGCCATGCTTTACTGTTGGAATGAGGTGCTTGGGATCCATTGCAGTGTTGGATTTCCTCCAAACCTTGGCCCTGCCATCATATCCAAAGATGTTGTATTTGGACTCATCAGTAAACAAAACCTTTTTCCAGAACTCATAATCCTTCTTAAGGTGCTCCTTTGCGAACTCCAAAGGAGGAGCACGATTTTTCTCACTTATGAGAGGTTTCTTGCGAGGAGTCCTGCTGCGGAATCCTTCATTGTTTAGAGCCCTTGTTATTGTCAGCTAGTTCCTGGACCAAACTTGTAGCATGTACCCTAGGGTTTTGGCCAACTTCACTGCGGATGAAGATGTCCCTTCGAGAAAGCTTTTTCGGACGGCCACTGCGCGGCTTACTCTCGAATGAGCTCGATTTTTCGAAGTTTTTATAAATTGTTTGCACCGTCGCTTTGCTTAAATTTAACAATTTAGCAATTTCGCCAAATGATTTTTTTTCTTTTCTGTGTTTTATCGCCAATTTCCGCACAGCCACAGGAATTTCCTTTCCAATAATAAAATACAAATAAAGCAAAGCCAAATACCGCGGAAAGCATAATTCAAAAAAGAACGTTAGTTCTAAGCTAAAAGGAATACCAGAAACGGCTGTCTAACGAAACGTATGTAGACTTTTGTCAGTGCCTTTTTTCAGTTTTTGGTTAATAACTTCGAAAGTTGTTATTGAATAAAGACGATATTTTGGTTTTTGTCTTATAATTAAATTTAAAACAAGACTGCATCATTACTTTTACTGGAAACGCTATAGAGCTGGCTAAACTCCAAAAAAGGGGTCGTTTGTAGACTTTAGTCCGCCACTGTACATTTAACTGTCGAGTTACCGCCCACTATTCTCTTCCATGGTGACAGCTTCGACTGGGAGATATTTGCATTCCTATAAGTGATAAAATCCAGAGTACAACCGGCTTAAACCAATTGCAGGGGGCTTTCGTTCGTTTTGTACGCTTTGAGCTTTTGGCATAATCGAGAACTATATATAAAAAAAGAAAGAAGATTAGAAAATGTTTATACGGAGTGTGCAAAATATTTTATTTTTGTTTAAAAGATAAAAAAAATTGAATTTTTTATTTTTGTAATAGTTGAAAAGGTTTATATAAACTTCGCATTGTTTTCTCGCATGTCTGAACAATAAAAATGCTTACTCCAAGTCATTTTTTTACATTTTCTAAAGCAAAATCTAAAAATTAGAGAATTATTTTCTAAAAAGTATTTGTTTAGCATGCTCCGTCACAACAAAAGTGTCAAGCTCAAAGCTACTAACTGGCCGGGCTGCTAAAGGATAAAACGTCTGGACAAAAATCTAAGCAATTATGTAAATCTTATTAATATCTTTTTAAACAAATGGTAACATTGAATAATTTAAACAACGTACGATAGATAATTGTCCCTGATTATGAACTGGCAGCACGTCAGTCAAAGTTCTTATTGAGGGAATAAGACGGACGTGCTTAAATTTTTATAATTTTAATATTGCTCAATAAAATCAGAGTAAGACGTGCAAAAAAAGCAATGTCATCTGTGTGTCATTAGGATTTATATATAGATTTGCATTTAACCATACCCATACTGCAAAGAATTCTCTTCAAAAACGGGGTCCCTTCATAGTCTTTGTGTTTGAGTGGCACGCAAAGAAAAGCAGTCACATAGGCTGAGACGCAACTTCTAGTTTGAAATAGATAATACCACTTATGCTTTCATTCTATAAGCTTTACACCACCCAAATCTAATTGTTATAAACCGCAATCACTTTTCGCCTTTGGTGATGGCAATGAAAGCGATTAAATTCGATTAAATTATGGGGATCCATTCCGTTTTAGCTAAAAAATATTTTTAGAAAAAAAAATTCTATCCATTTTTCAAAATTACAGTTTTGAACAAGAAAGGAAGAAAACTTCCTGGCATATATGTTAATGCTATCTGTGTCGAATTTTAAATACATTTTTTCATCGTTCCTATAGGAGCTATATGATATAGTCGTTCGATTTGGTTAAAAACCACTATGTCTTTATAGGATCCTTTACCTGGTTGCAAACTTTTGGTTCAAATTATAATAACCTGGAAGTGTACAAAATAAAGAATGTATAGGACTGAGTCCAATATTTATTATAAGAAGTGCACTATTGTGATGCTTTTCGTGTTAAAATGGAATATGTTAGTCCGCTTTCCTATAATTTTCCCACTTCGTGCAGATAGGCTCCAAGAAGTTTAGTCTAAAAGAAAAAAAGTTATGTTATCAAATTTGGCAAAGAGGTGCTTCATTGCTAACTTACGCCTTCGATGTAATTGTATATATCGATCTTTTCATTTTGAGAGTGGGCCCCGTCGTCACATGCTCCTACTGGCACAAGGATGACGTTTTTGCCAGTGGCTTCTTGCAATGTTAACGTTACTGGAATAGAGCCCCCCTCGCGAGTCATGTCCGGTTCTACATTGAAAACATGCTTAATGGCCCGTTTCGCAGCCTCATAGTGCGGATGGTTTGGATCCTCAGTCCAGGGCTTGCCAGCCGAGAGCATAACAACCTTTTATAAAACAATGTAATTTGGGAGATCGAAGCTTAACATTACAAACAACAGACCTTCATTTTGTTGGGCGAGCCACGTTCGGCCCACTTATCATTAAGGTAGTTAACAACACACTCCTCAATGTGCTTTGGGTCCTGGTCGGGCACAAGGCGAATGGAGAACTTTCCAATAACCTTCTTTGGAATAACGGTCTTTGCGCCTGGCTCATAAAATGCACCTTCGATTCCATGAATCGATAGGCTGGGATAACGCCACCTGGCTTGAAGCAGCCTAATTTTGTCGCCATTATACGGCAACTGGTCAACACCAATGTCTTTCCTAAAGAGATTACAGCGGTTCAGTAATATACGGCGTTAATTGAAAGATAAGATTAACTAACTTGTACTCAGATACTTCGAAGTCAATGTTCTCATAAATTGATTGCTCGTTCTTTAGCTGGGGAGCCACCTGTACGAATACGAAAGGAAAGGAAGCCTTAGCGACAAGTTTTTGGATTACTTAACAAGCTACATACGTCGCGATCCACTCCAGGAATCAAAATCTTCGTATCCTTGTCGACGAGAACGCTGAGCAAGTGACACAGATCTGGCATTGCTTCGTGAACGGTGCCCCCGAACACTCCACTATGCAAATCTTTGTTCGAGCATTCCACCTCCACTTGGAAGTATGCTAGTCCTCGGAGCCCATATGTCAGGCAGGGACGCTTCTTTCCCAGCCAGTAGTTATCGGAGATACAAACATAATCAACATCACCTAGGAAATCGTTTTTGCGCTCTATCAATAAGTCGTCGAGTCCTTCGCTTCCGCTCTCCTCCATCCCCTCGAAAACGAACTTAACGTTTACTGGCAGTGGAATGTTAAGCTTCTGGTAAGCCTCGATAGCATGGATCCAGCATAGGACTGGTCCCTTGTCGTCTGACGCACCGCGACCAAACAACTTGCCATCCACCTCGGTAAGGTCGAATGGATTGGTATTCCATCCATCTTCCTTCAGGGCAGGCTGTACATCCAGATGTCCGTACACCAGCACGGTTTTCTTAGTGGTGTCCTTTCCCAGAGTTCCAAGCAGGACCTTTGGCAGGGGGATTATCTCACCGTTCGGCAAGGTCTGCTTGCCCACATCCGCTAGCTCGATCTCGGTGCCCAAGGTCCTCAGCCGATCAGCGGTCCAGTCCACCATGCGATCAATCTCGCCGCGCTTATCGGGCCAAGCAGAAACGGACTGAATCCCCACAACAGTTTTCAGGGCATGTATGTAATCGCTTTTTTTGCCATCAACGAAGCTGAAAAGAGATTGCGGTTTATAACAATTAGATATGGGTCGTGTAAAGCTGATAGAATGAAAGCACAAGTGCTGTTATCTATCCCAACTAGAACAATTTGCGGCTGAGCTTATGGGATAATCGTGTGACTACTTTTCTTTGCATGTCACTCAAACAGACTATGAAAGGAATCCATTTTTGAAGCGAATTCCAGACAGTCAGGTCTATGATTAAATGCAAATCACTTATTCGCACACTGAGATATTTTTGCACGTCTTACGCCTGATTTGTGAGCAATATGAAAATTATGGAATTCTTCGCGACACGGACGTGCTGTTTTTTTTTTTCGCCGTTCCTAATCAGGGAGTCGTTGCTAAGTTAATAGCGATGATGCTGTTCAGATATATCTATATATGTACATTTAAACGCAAGTATGTATAAGAATAGTGACGCACACATAGAAGTCATTTATGTGTCCAACTCAACTCATTATCGTCATTCTACTTACGCAAAGAATTCCTGGAGTTTATTGTCATCCATCGTACTTGTTATTATCTTTCGGACTGCAAGACGAACTGCAACAGTCTGCGGGTCGTACCAATTTAAATCCAAACCAAAGTCGGCGCGCGCTTATATAGCAAATACAACAAAAAGTAATGAATACAGAATGGGCAGTAGTAAGACCGTTGTAAAAAGTATAAAAAATCCATCCCAGAACACCTAAATATTCTGAAACTATTGAATTTATACAAGTCAAGTTAACAACGATGTGTTAATGTCGAAAGTGAGACGGTGGCGAAAGAACAACTAAAAAAAAGATAATGCTTTAAAATACACAACGGTTAGGTGCTACACTGAAACCACAACAAATGAACATTTTACTGGACCAAATGCCTGCTAAATTATTTGGAAAAATATTAAAAAAATATAAATGAATCCGGCAAGCAGTATAAAAATTGTTTTATTCTATTCTATTCTTCCTTCAATTATTCTACCTCTGATAAGTACTTGTGTACTTGATAACACATTTATTGTTTTTTACTTGCTTTGCTCGTTAGCTTTCTGGAATCTATTATTCTTAAGTAAGAAAAATTCAAACTTTAATTTAAGATTTTGGTAATCGAATCCAGTTTTTTAAAGATATTTTTTAGGTTCAACAACAATCTTTTTAATTTTAATCGACGAAAACTGTTCGTTAGTCGTGAGAGAGAGCGAGAGGCAAACAGCTGGCGTACACTTTTTGTCAAGCTTTTTTTTCACATCGGTACTCAGATTGAGGAAAAAATACCAGAAAATTTTATAGCGTTGCCAGTTTGCTGAAATGAATTTAGGGTGAACCCTTGCGAAAGGAATACAATATTTAATCTTTTGGCAGAATAAAAAAACCAGAAAATGTCGATTGTAGGAGCTTACTTGTAAGGACAAAATAACATTAATACGATCTGTGGAGTCCCGCCCAGAATTATAGGATTTGTCCAATAAAAAAATTGTTAATGCAACCATTATAAAAAGAGCCTGGGAGGAAATAGCCTGGGAAATGGATAAAGATAGTAAGTTATAATTGTACATTATTAAATATTTGTTAACGTGGACATATACAATATTTATGTTTAGATAATAGTTACAAGCTGGCGTGGAAGTCGCTGCGGGACAGCTATAAATAACACCTAAAATGCGAGCTATCGAAGAGTGGAAGTGCTGGAGGAGTTTCACTGGAGAAGCCAACGGGTGTTAATCTTTTTTGGTGCCTCTTGTCAGAGCAAAGTGTTTTTTAGGTCAAAAATGTACGAAAAAACACATAACAAATTAGAAAAATCGCCTGTTTGAACTAAATGCAGCTATAAACTTTAAATTGGCAAATAATTATCAGTAATTAAAAAAAATTTTAAATTGTATTGTTTTTAATTTCTTTGTACAGCGGCAGACTTGTCTTGCCAAGGTATTTGATAATATCGTTTGAAGGCTCTTTCCCTCAAACCCAGCTGTGATTGACAGTAAGACCGTTGTACGCCAGTTCGGATGAACTCTCGAAACTTCGATCACATTGGAAAGATTAAAGTCTTTTCGCTAGCGAACATCTTTGTAATAGGCTTAACAATTTAATTTACATAGACGCAAACAATAAATACTTAACTAATAAATACTGGGACAAAAATACTAGATTAAGAAATGCGAGTAGCCAAATTTATTATAAAACTAAGCTACATTCAGATACTATTTGTTACCCTTGCAGAGGGTATTATAATTTCAGTCAAAAGTTTGCAACGCAGTGAAGGAGACATTTCCGACCCTATAAAGTATATATATCCTTGATCAGCATCACAAGATGGGTCGATCTAGCCATGTCCGTCTGTCCGTCCATTTCTACGTAAACTTTTGTTTTTAATTTTTTTGTTTCTTTGGGATTTGATAATACTTATATATTATGCAATTACGGTTTGAATTAAATTAAAATCGGACAACAATGTCATTAATGTAGTTGCCATAGAAACGATGGGAAAATGCATCGCAAAATCGACTTACTTACTTACTTGTAGCTTCATAGTTTTTAGTAATACAGGGATAGAAATCGGAATGTAGTCGTTTTGTAATAACTGAAAGGGTATATAAACTTCGGCTGGCCATAGTTTGCTTCATTTAGTTCCGACTTATGTACTACCTGCAATAGAAAGACAACTTTTGGGAAAGTTTGAAGCAGATAGCTTTAAAACTGAGGGACTAGCTTGCGTAAAAACGGACGGACAGACGGACATGGCTTGATCAATTCTCCTTGTGATGCTGATCAAGAATATATACTTTATAGGGTCGGAAATGTATCCTGCTTTGCAAACTTTTGATTGAAACTTGAATACCAAAGAACAATATAATCATATATTCTAATGTCTTTGATAATACTCTTTGAAGGGTATAAAAACTATATATGTATATCAGCACAAATACATTATACATTGTATTTGTACCAATTTTATATTATTTAGAGTTAATACCTTTTGGAAGCTCATTTAACTGGAATTTTCTCACCTCTGACCACACTATGCACTTGCCAATTTCAACATCAACGAAAAGATTATAAAGGGCACAAATGCAACATGAAAGTGGCGAGAAGTAAAGAAGACCACTTCATTTTGCGTTCTGCGCTTTAAAGAACACTATTTTACAAAATTAAATGGCAGCTTATTCCAGAGATAAATGTTTTATATTCCGGTTCAGTTGAACTCCCTGACTTAAAAATTGCACTCAACATCTTTGAATAATTTTTAAAAAGTCTAAATTTAGTTTTTTTTGCCATTTTTCATGTTTTTAAATTTTTTTTCTTGAGTTCTGGTAAAAAGATTTTGGTTACTAAGTGTAGTAGAAATATAATCTGCCACACACTTTATAGAAATTAGTTCGTTGATACCTTAAAAACTATGCGTATAAAAACAACATTAATTTTATTACTTATACTCACAAAGCTTTAAAACTTAACATTCTCTCATCGAATCGATTATTTTGTGAACTTTCTACTTTGATATTACCTTCAAAGTATAGATGTCTATAGATGTGTGCCCACCGCCGATTTATACAGTAAGTAACGGTCTCTGCCGGAGCTCTGCTGGCAGATAGAGCCATGGTGAACACGTAGCGATTTTATGTTCTTTGTTAATGACAATATACCAGAGAACATGTTTTGCTCCATCCCAATGCGTATTAAGTGGATCTTCATTATGTTGCTCTAATTTGGGAATAGATTTTTTTTTTGTGCAAACATTTATTTATTTAAGCGTTGATCAACCAACTTAATGGCTATAAAACGCATGGAAATCATAAAGTAGAAAAAATAACATAAAACATAACAGACATAAGAAAACAATTTTATAACAGAGACTGTACTACACTATTATCTCAAGACGCCGGTTTCATGACGTCCTCGTGCCCAAAGATCGCCAGGGTGCCGACGCTTCAGTCTTCTTCAGGTAGTTGGATTTGCCAAGGATGCTGCTAGTTGGTTGGTGTGGGCTAGTAGACGGTCATTGTAGCGGATAGAATGCATGTTGATCTGCTCTCTTACCGTGGGGATGTGAAGATCGCTAGCTAGGACCTCGTTCTTACATACCACGGTGCATTCGCACCGTGACATTTGAGTCTAATACAGTACCCCATAGGACCCCATCATTGAAGGAACTACAATCGAATTGTACAGCAACATCTTGTTGCTGAGGCTGATTTTACTTGTTGCTTTAAGAATCCAATTTAGTTTTCGATTTGCTGCCTCCACGTAAGTCGTTTGTCCAAAATCAAGCCCAAGTACTGAGACTGGGAAGATTGCGGTATAGCTGTCTCCTGAAATTTTACTCTGGGGAAAATTTTACTTCTAAGATAGGGACTTATTCCCGTTTATCAAAATGTTCCATCGATTCGTCCATTCGTCATACAGATCTAAAAAGTTTTGAGTGATTTGAGTGGCTTCAATTCGACACGTTGAGTTAGTAAAAAAAGCTGTATCATCAGCATATGTAGCCAAGAGGATTCGCGGTTTCCTAGGGTACGGCAGGTCAGCTCGCATGCATCTGATAGATGACCTTTCGCCTCTCACATTCACCATAAAATTTCGTTCTAACAGAAACGATTTTAGGAGAAGATATTGTGCATTTGGCAGGAGGGTTTCAACTTAAACAGCAAGCCGTCGTGCCAAACGCTATCAAAAGCTTCTTTGACATCAAGGAAGACTGCTGAACTGTACTGCTTATATTCGATGGGCTTGCTCTGTACTATGGTGACTTCTAAAGCCAAAATGGTGGTCTGGAATGGCATTCTGTACATTTCTTACTACCATCATTCTATTAAGGAATATTCTTCCGAATATTTTTAAGAAAGTGGGCATCAATCTTTTCTGGCTTGGTTATCATCGATATCACAGCACACATTCATTGAGTGGGAAAGTGGTGGATACGTAACATTCCTGGGTAACGTCTTGGCAGTTCTGCTGTCGATGACGTCGAAACCTGGAGCCTTACTGCGTTGAGGGATAGGTTCGATTGTCGAGGAGGGTGCTTTTAGGAATGCTAGGGTTTAAAAGTTCAAAGATGGCAAAGTCTATGGCTGATGGCACGCGTTGGCTGAATGGGTAATGTATAGGCCCTCATGTTGAAAGTACTTCCATGTGAGATGTGAGTATAATATCCGCTAGAGTTCTGCCTCTGTTTGTAGATTAACATGATCCCCAGAGACGATGATGGGCATTTAGAAGCTCCCCTTAGCGATTAGCTGTGAGCTGAGAATTTGGGGACAATATATAGACGCAATGACTATTTCCCCTTGGTCAGTTCTGACTTTGACCGCAACTGAGCCGTTTGGTGTTCCACATATAAGAATTGGTAGTATTTAAGGCACGATTTAATGATAATTGCGGATCTTCCGCGATGGCGATCAGCAGGATGGTTTGGCAGATGAATGTCATATCCCCTTAGCTGGTAGTATGATCTAGAGCAGAAGTGAGTTTCGCAGATTGAGTCGTTTTGGGACTTTTCGAATTTGTCTGCATTTTATTAGCAAAATTAGGAGACCTAGATTCTGGACGCCGTTTGTAATTACTAGGGGTCCACCAATCTCCTTCGTCGCCGGCTATGGTTTCCAGCTCGGGTTCAATGTGCAAAAAACGTTTACAAAGAGCAACCCGGCTCAACTGA